ATACACCTTCTGACGAAAAATATTGATTCTTACGTTATAGTACACACACACACCGTAATATCACGAAATTACGTGAATATCATGACACAACACAAGAAAGAGTATTGAGAAAAATATATAGTATATGAATACAACGAACATATGGTGAAAATTAAAAATGGTCTTTTCATACAAAATCATCTGTTTAGCAATACTATAGTTCAAATATGATATTCACAATTATATAATTGTATGTCTTCTCATCGTTCGTCTTTCACTATCTCTCTCCATAGATTATGATAATGTGTTATTTTATTCACTCATGAAAAGATGAATTACATCTATAAAAAATAAGGAAATTAGTGGAAGAACGTTGTAGAAAGAGATAAGTATTACATTTTATAGATATAAGAATGGATCAAGTGGTTCGTAATTGTTAAGTATAATGTAAATAGACCAAATTATATTGATCATACTTATAAATGATCTCCGAATATCTAGCATTCTATGGATTTGTCATGCTAAAAAAATTTAAAATATTCTTAGTTATATACAATCACGGCTCGCTAACAAATATTGATTGTTGAAAGTATGGGTGTGGATCACATTAATACATGAAAACCAACTACACCCTCAAATATCACCTTTGCAGTAGAATGGGTGAGTGTGAAAGAGACTTATATTTCGGCCACAGTCATCACACTCACATCCTCTATCTACTATACGATGTTAGGTGTTGATTGTTGTTTTTGTCAATGGGGTGGAGATGCGCGACCATTTATCAGCACTAATCCTCTTGGTAATTGGACTTATCTCAGCCAATTAGATTATTATATTGTGCTGATGGAAAAGTTTCACCAGGTCATCTAGATGGTATGAATATCAATCCATGCTCATTTAATGATCCGTATGGAACAAATTTCACAGTTCCTGCGCAACAATTCAATGTAGCTATACCTATACCGATATCATCCGAAGAAACTTTATACATGTACTATGGAATCAAAGGTCATGATTTTCAAGCTTGGGTACCAATAGAATTTATGGAGAATGATATTCCAGAACCTATGAGATTTTATAATAATTTTACTCTTAATATTCAATAGCAAAAATACAGTGCAGAATTAATTTAACTAATTTTTT